TCTCTGCCGCTTGCCAGCTACGCCTCGGCCGGCGCAGGGGGCGGAACCACGCATGCGCGGCGCTCCCGGGCAGGGAAGGTCCTCGACTTACGACCGGTTGGGTAGTCCTCGACTTACGACCGGTTTAGTCCTCGACTTACGACCGGTTTAGTCCTCGACTTACGACCGGTTGGGGGTCGCGGCATTAAAAAGGTTGAGAACCATTGAGTTAGAAGGTAATTTCTACATTGTGTTTTTTTTTTTTGTAGGGTGGTGTCAACAAGATGTACCATGGGATTCACGATTATGACAAGAGCCTTCCCAGAGTCCACCTCACCATGGAGAAAGGAGACACGGTGTTTTTCCACCCCTTGATCATTCACGGTTCTGGAAGGAATAGGACCGAAGGATTTCGAAAGGTAATCCAGGTCATAGCCTGGATGTCCAGGTCCTCTTGAGATCTTTCCTGCTTCATTCAGATCAAGGGCGTTCTGTACGTTAACTGAACATTTGGTCCTCTTGCTTAATGGTTTTGGTTAATAAGGCTTGGAACGTGGCCAATTAGGACCTAATAGTTTAAATAAAAATGGTATAACTTCTCTCTGTCTCTCTCCTTCCCTCTCTCTCTCCCACCTCCCTCCCTCTTTCCCTCTTCCCCTCTCCCTCTCTCCCACTCCCTTTCTCCTTCTCCCTCCCTCCCACTCCCTCTCTCCCCCTCCATCCCTCTCTCCCTCCCTTGCTCTCCCTCTCTTCCTCTCTCTCTCCCTCCCTCCCTTTTCCTCTCTCCCACCTTTCTTCCTCTTTCCCTCTTCCTCTCTCCCTCCCACTCCCTTTCTCCCTCTCCCACCCACTCCCTCTCTCCCCCTCTCTCCCCTCCACCCCTCTCCCTCTCTCCCTTCTTCCTCTCTTCCTCTCTCTCTCCCTCTCTCCCTCCATTTTCCTCTCTCTCCCCTCCCTCCCACTCCATTTCTCCCTCTCCCTCCCACTCTCTGTCTCTCCCCTCTCCCCCTCTCTCCCCCTCCGTCCCGCTCCCTCTGTCCATCCCTTCTTCTCCCTTCTCTCCCTCTCTCCCTCCCTTTTCCTCTCTCCTACCTCCCTCTCTTTCCCTCTCCCCCTCTCCCTCTCCCTCTCCCTCCCACTCCCTCTCTCTCTCCCCTCCCTCCCCCCCCCCCCCCCTCTCTCTCTCCCTCTCTCTCCCTCTCTCCCTTTTCCTCTCTCCCCCCTCCCTCCCTCTTTCCCTCTTCCTCTCTCCCATTCCCTTTCTCCCTCTCCCTCCCACTCCCTCTCTCTCCCATCCCCCCTCTCTCTCCCCCTCTGTCCCTCTCCTTTCCTCTCCCTTCCTCTCTCTCTCCCTCTCTCTCTCTCTTTCTCTCTTCCTCTGTCTCCCTCTCCCTCTCTCTTTTAATGCAGGCTATTTCTTGCCATTATGCTAGTAGTGATTGCTACTATATTGACGTCAAAGGGACCAGCCAGGAAAATATAGAGAAGGAAGTTGGAGAGATTGCAAGGCAGAAGTATGCTCTAGGTAGTTCATCGATGGCTCTGAAAGTAAGTACTCCCCCCCCCTTTTTTTTTAAGACCACGTTCAAAAGTGTTTGGCCCTGGACTTCTCACCTAAGGCGTTCTTAATAAAAATTCAGAAGTACGTAAAGAATGCCATTTCAGTCGAAGCAGTTTATATCAGCATATCATTGGATGCTCAGATTGTCTGGTTTTGGGTACTTCTTCTCTGAGGCTGGTGTCATGGTTCCGACCGATGAAAGTCTTCAAAGAACTTTGAGGCATTGTTTGCCTTAAAGAATCTTTATTCGAGCAGCATAGCTTCCTTGAAGCCAAAATCTGACTTCCCCTCCTTTCAGCACATAGATCAAAGCACAATTCCCTCCTACAACTAACAGTCATAAATCACATTCTCCAATTAGTTTGAAATGCTGGCTTTCCGCCCAGTTTTTTATCCCGCCATGCCTTATCATCTCTTATTACAATATTGTATGTCTAACTGACTCCCATCACATTCCTCCCCCTTCCCCCCAGTATCATCTAATTCTAAGAGTAAAGCATAATAAAGGAAAAGGCTGCATCTCCATATGTTGTCAAAGCAAGAGCATCCAATCTTAGCAGCGTTGACATCTGGTACATAATAAGATTCACCTTGACCAGCACCCTCAAACAGCCAGTGCTGTAACTGGAATAAATCACGAACGGATGAAATATTTCCTATAGCTATGCCTGAATTTGGAGGCTAGTAAGTAGTACAGTTAATCCTCAACGTACGACCACGGTCGAGTTCAGAATTTCCGTTGCTAAACAAGGCAGTTGTTAAGTGAGTTGTGCCCTATTTTATGAACTTTTTGGTCACAGCTGGTAAGCAAACCACTGCTCTTGTTAAGCAAATCCAGGTCGTAAGTGCGAAAAACAGTCATCAGTCCCTTTTTTTCAGTGCCGTTGTAACTTTGAACTAATGTAGTAAAATGAACAATTATTAGAATAATGATTTGTCTGCATAACTGCAATAATGATGTGTCTGCATAATTGCTAGAATAATGAGGTAATGCATAATCACTGGGAAAATTCACTGGGAAAGTTCTGTTTCAGTAATATGTGGCAACCAAATGCGCTTTGCACATGGATACTTTGTATGTAGCAAAACCTTCCATTGTATGCCTGTGAGAAACGCTCCTAATGTATCACAGTGTGTATTTCAATGTGTAGCCCTTTGTTCTTTAAGGAGGGTAGTATAAAAACTGAAGTCTAATCCCGCCCTCCTCGTTCAGAATTGCCTATCTCTAATATGCTCTGGACCTTGCGCAAATAAGCTTCTCTGCTAAACCCCTCTGGAATTCGTAAGAGTTCTTTCGTTTTCCACAAGAGAACGGTCACTAAAGGAACTGTTGTAAGTCGAGGACTAGCTGTATTAGGTTCGGAACTTGGAGAATCTTGTGTTTTTTAAAGGAACGTTTTTAAAACGTTTGAGGGTCAACCAACTCAACCTGCTTGCATCTCAATGGGTGAACCGGGAAGACGCTTCTTATTATTTCTGTTCTGTTTTCAGGAGGCTTTCATGGTACGAAGTCGACTTGTTAAAGGAAAGAGAAAAAGTCTTTAAATGCTGTTACAGATCCCTTCCCAAACCACCCAAGGAAATTTGGGAGAATTCAGCATTTATTTCTTCTTACTTTTTGGAAAGGCTGTTCAGTTAGCAATAATCTCGAAGCGCTTTGGAGGCTGTTTGTGTTGGGAAATGGATTAAAGGCTGCAGTGCTACAGTAGTGGCCAAAATGGTGGAAACCTTTTGGGAAAAGTGTACAGTAGAAATGCCATCTTTGGTTAAGTTTCCACCCATTTTCCTTCCAATTTCTTTATAACTGTTCACTTAATAATACTATTTTACATTGCTTTCTGGGCGACCAGTCAACTCTTTGCACCATTACTTTAATTTTATTACATTTTGCAAGCTCACTAAATGAAAGAGCACAAAAAAACCCCAACCAACTTGATAGCGATCACATAACACACTGACAAATATCCTCCTCTCAGCTTCAATACATGACATCAATAACTGAATCCTACTGTGATCTGATTGGCCCATTGCCAAAACAAGTTGACACCTGATTGGCTCTCTCAACACTCATGCTCATTGGCTACAATCAGATGAAGGAAAGCTACCTGAGATCAACCTAAGCAAGTTGTGCTTCCTTTTTCTGGTTATTTGGCTATAATTTTTCATAGAATATAGTACAGATAATTGAACCAACTTCGTTGCATTACATTCTTGATTAAATTATCTTTCCATTGATATATAATTTTATGGTACTACTCCAAAAAAAGTGGTGTTATTAGCCATCAAACCTCAAATGTACACTTTTTTCAAAAAGTTTCCACAATTTTGGCCACTACTGTAGGCACATAAATGTTAGTACAATGAACAAAGTGAAATTTGTTTTTGAGTAAAAGAAAAAAGAGTTATTAGAATTTAAGCTGAAATTCTATACATGTTTTACTTACATAAACTCTTTATTGATTAGATTATAAGAATTTAAACTAGTGTCCTGATCTTGTTTAATAATATAAACTCTTAGCAGAGCTCAGATGGACTTTTAACTATATGTGCATAGGGTCCAGGGTTCAAGTCCCTGTTCAGGTGCCAAAAATGAGATTTAAATGTATATGTTAGGGTTGAAAAGGCTTCTGAAAAGTGGATTGATTTAAGGCTTTGGATTTGGATTTTTTAAATATATTCTTTGATATAATAGATCTTCTTTTTCTTTTTCTTCTCTTTTTTTCTTTTTCTTCTCTTTTTTTCTTTTTCCTCCTTTTTTTTCTTTTTAAGTATGATAATCATGAGATTGGTAAATGAAGAGTTATTGAATAAGCAATAAAATATATTGGAGAAATGTGAGATGATAATTATGGGAATAATAAGTTTACTTTTAGATATTATAATTATTATTTTAATGAGGGAAATTAGGGATACCCGAAATGTAAATAATATGTCTATTTAAGGCTGAATTGGAATATGGTATTTGGAGAATTGTAAAGCTCAAAACAGGATTTGGATTTATATACTTAAAATGTTATTGAAAATTTTTATCGATCGATTGAATTTTATCTAGAAGCTTATCAATTTGATTGTATTGTTCTAATTGAGAGAACAGAGAGGAAACAGTTTAAGGAGCTAAATTTGAGCTGTATATTTATGATTTCTTTTTTGCGGATAACTGATTACCCTATCTCCAAGCACTTTGATGTAAAAAGGTGAAAAAATTAATAAAGTTTTAAAAAAGAATTATATTCTCACTTTAATAACGGTAATTGATGTATTTAAGTAATTTAAGTCAATATTTTTGCAGTATTTGGAAAAACCTCGTTTTTCAGAAGTAGAGTGATTTTAGATTTTTCTTAGCAGGGACATCTTCTTTATTTTAATGGCAAACATTTATTATAATAGATTTAGACCAGAGTGCAGACTTTTAGATTAGTGACTTAGTTTTTCCAGTTTTCAAGAGTTGGAACGAGCTGTTTTATTTGAGAAGAATATTATGGACTGGAAAAGGTAAAAGAAGAGTCAAACAACTGATTGGAAGCAGATTTCCAGTAGCTGCATGGGAATTTTTATTTTTTTTACATTAGAAGAAAAACAGCTAGAAGGTGACATGAAAAATGGTTTGGTTTTATAAAAGCGAAAATTTATATTAAAATATCTGGATGGCTTTCAACAATGGAAGCGTTTGCTTATCCAAATTTGATTAATTATGAGAAAGTTGTGACCTATAAAGATATTTTGAACAATGAAGGGAAATTGAAATATAGACAAGACTTAGAAGAGCAGGGTACTGATTTATCGTGGTGACCATATTTGCAAATTCAAACGAGATGTGAAAAAGATGTTAAGACAATGGGATTTTACAAAGAACAGACAGAATTTGACCAGATATTGCTGAAAACAGATGAAAAACTGATTAAAAAAACTTTACAAATATTTGTTAAGCTTAAAGATGGAAGAGGAACAAGTAAAAGAAACAATATGGGCAAAGAACTTTGGATATAATATAGAATTAGAAAATTGGCAAAGCTTATGGGAAAGAAACTCTAAAATAACAAAAGCAACCTATAAAGAAAACATATACAAAATGTTTTATAGATGGCATTTAACACCGGTGAGATTAGCAAAAATGTTCAAAAATATGTCCGATACGTGTTGGAAATGTAAACAAAAACCTGCTACTTACTATCATATCTGGTGAACATGCCCTAAAGCAGTGGTGGCAAACCTATGGCACGGGTGCCAGAGGTGGCACTCAGAGCCCTCTCTGTGGGCAC